ATCATCAATAATATTTGTAAAATGATAATATTACAATTCCTAAGTGATGATTATGATTTATGATAGATAATAAAGACCGTAATTTTGTTGGACTTCAATTTTTTGTCCTCAAACTTTGGTTTAAAATTAGTGATTTCTTAATTCTCGTTCAACTAAGTCTTGATCAGTTTGTTAACTAATCTTTTTTGTTCCCCAATTTTACTTATATTTACTTTTTAAAAAAAGCCAAAATGATTTTCTATGTTCCATACTTGTTTTTAAGTTCTATTTATTGTTATGTAAACATTTTATACACTTTTTCGTTATATAACTAATATACTATTTCCCTCTAAAAATATATATTTATTTTAAATTTCTACTACCAATTTAAGTTTTTATTATGTATTATTTTGGCGACCTGAATAAATAAATTTGTTCATGGTGAGAAGTAAGAGCTATTTGTGCCAAAAAATACAATATGGAAGTGCCGTAATGTTTTATTTTGTGTCTACCGTTACACTACTGAATGTTGGCTACATACATATTGTAGATCTGTCATCCATATTAAACTAATTACTCAATAACCTCCCGGGTGTTATTTTTTGAAAGCCTATTCCCATAAAATTCATATCTTTCATAGCGCCATTTTTATTTAGTCCTCAAAATGCTGAGGTCAGTAAACAGGAAAGGGTATCGCATATATAAATACTGGAACGATTATTGAATTTTTGAAGTAATCATTGTAAAAATACACTTTAGTTTGAACAGGACCGACACCCACGAAATATTTGCCTTAAGGATAGGGAAACTTGCATCTCTTATAGAGACTTTGGGTGGCCTCATTTTATCTGATCATTATCCAACATGTTAGTAATCGTTTGATAAAATGAGCAGCATTCTCAAATGTATGCTAGTTACGAATTTTAAAGACTCATCTAGGTAAAATAACTATATTTTATCTGTAAGATCGAACCCTGTGATAATAGATTAATGTTTTCCCAACTTATGACGCATGAATTCTAACAAATATGTTTTCCTAATAAATAGTGCTTTCTATTTTCGGCGATCACTGCGAGGATCCATAATCAAAGAAGCCTTCCTTTTTTTTCAGAGGGCGGATTTTCCCGTAGTCCACCTCAAACTCAAAGAACGCACAAAATGGCTGATTTACATAAAAGTACATCCTCTTGGTACGACAGAAAAAACGTTGTACAAGTTTGCGGAACCTCGAAGTATCGTGTTGTCATATGCCAGAAAAAACAGCTGATATAATTGAAGACAAAACAAGAGATTGGATGATCGAATATTTTCTTTGCTTTCTTTTCCTCATTCTCCTCATCAAGGTATACAAGATTTAAGTGAAACTGTTGAATGATAATTAATTTAATTTAAAATTTGTGGTCCAATACTTAACTTCATTGGAACTATTTCTTATTAAAATTAGAGTGCCACGCCTTTTTGCAATTTAGGAAGAAAACATTGTATGAAATAAACTCATCGCTACAGGTAACTTATTGTACCTGCTAATTTATTTAGCGCACCAATCGGAAATCTACAACACAAAACTTTAACCAAATTACACTTTTATGTTTTCAGGCTAACGAGAAAATTTTAGTTGATGGAATTTACTTATCCCTCCACTAAGATATTTTGTTCTGTAATTTTGTAATGTCACAGTAGCGTACAAGGCACATTCTTGTTAAATTGTTTTTATGACCAATCCAAATGGAACGTGGCTGATGGAAACTTAAACTCTTCCTTTTACATGTTTTAGGAGAACTTAATAGAAGCCATTCTGATGGACCATTTATGTTTTATCTGTACTTTGCGACGTAGATATAATCAAAAGAATGAATACGATTTATTTCATTGTTGTGAATATCAACCTTTTTACTTTTTATGATTAATCCTTTACATAACTTCCGTGATTGCATACTAATTTCGTCTCTATTTTAGTTTATTAAGATGAGGGTACAGTGCATGGAATGAATTGAATATATTTAATAAACTTATATAGGTTTCCAAAACAAATTATCAATTTTTTTGTACCTCACTTAAATAGTTACTGATTCAATTCCTTAGGAAATATTCATTTTCGAAAATACTTGCATGATATGTAACACTTGCATGATATGTAACACAAATGCCAAAAAATCAAATTTTACTTTATTATATAAGATAATGAATCTTATCTTTTTTTAATGTTAATGTTGATGTTTCGTTTCTGATTTATGTGTTTTTATTCTTTTTGTACTTATTATCTGTGAATAATAGATTTTATATCAAAGTAATAAACGTACAAGACAAGTTAACATGCAAAATTCAATCATATTCATACTATTATATCTTACCTCCTTCGTATACTCAGATGATTCGGAGCTGGGAAAATTCACTATGAAGCCTGGTTTAATGAGCAGACTATGGGACCCACAGTGGCCGGACGACGATGTTGATACTTGGGGAGTTGCTATGGTTACTTATTTTAGAACAGGGAAATACATGGATACTGCCAAATTGTTAGGTACAGCTTCAGGGGTTTCGGATCCAAAGATAAATTATGATGCGAATGTTGCTAGTACCGTGTATGGATTTGACATACCAACAGATTTGCAAGACTTTGTTATAACGTTAAGAGGATTTTACAAAGCACCAGCTTCAGGACATGCAAAAGTGTCGGCTACATTTAATTCGGAGCTAGATTCTGATGGTAAATATAGATTCTCCAATGGTGTGGTGTACTTTAATATTAGTTTTGGCATTACTACCTCTTTAGATGGTGATTCGGCTACCTGTTTGGATTCTGGTAGGACTACCCAAGCCTTCTTCACTTATATGTTCTATAATATTGAAAACACTCCAGATCAGACATTTACAGGAAGTACAAGATATGAATTTGTCGAAGGAAATTTGTATCCAATCAGTATTGCCATATCTAACCGCGAACCTCTTGTTGATATATCACAATTTGTAATTTTGATAGAAGGTGTCGAATATCCTTTCAATGAAGAGAATCTTTTCACATTAGATTTAGAAGACTCAGATTGGGCCGAAACTGATCAGCGTATGTTCCCAAGGTATTGTCCCGTTTATACTACCACTACTACGTACACAGAGGCACAAGTGACCGAAACAGCTACAATAGCAACAAGTATGGCCACATATACAGACGAAAATGGTAGTGTGACGACAGAGACGATATATGTTGTTGCCACTCCTGGTGAATACACAGCATCAAGCACCGAACCTATTGTGTCATCTACTTCAGATGTCGTTTCATCATCCACAGATGTTTTAGAATA